CTAAATTAGTAGTATTAATAATCTAAACAGTTCCTTATTTGCTTTCATTTTTACACAGAGTGTTAGAACAATTTACATTGATATATTACATACAAATTTATGACAGACTTTTATAATACAGACTATTGTATTAATATAATTTATATTATGACAGATTTAATAACATACTTGAAACATCTTTCTGACACGCTGTGCATATTTGCAATCAATATCACGATCTTATTTTCCGCAAAATCCAGAAACTTTAAGAAAAACTCCCAATAAGATAATAGATTAAGAATACATGACGACTTATGAGATGTTAATAAAATAGGTACGCACGTACGGTGGTTCTATAAGAACGCGCATGGAATCGTTGGAGCGACTAGAGCAACAGAACATCGTGGAACAGCAAGGCTCGGCGTCGTCCACTGGCAGAGCGGTTCAGAACACTTATAGTTTTCTCTGATATTGGATTCGCACTCCAATTCGCAATCAACCGTCAGGCTATAATCTGGTTAGTCCGACGGATTGAACACGAACAACAAGTGCGAAAAGCAAAAACGAGATTTTATTTTCGCAGTCGCGCGCGTTATGCTGTGCCGTGCAAATGTACTCGACCAAGCGCGTCACTTTATTTAGTACAAAAGTTGTATTTTTTTTTTCTATTTCGAGAAGTAAAACAAGAACTCTTCCAAACCCTGTTGACTTTCGTGTAGAAACACTCGACAGTATACTCTTATGATTCGTCAGCAGCGTGTTTGCATTGCATTTACATTAAACGATAAGCAAATAGAGAATAGACTGCCAAACGAAACAAGTCTCAGTTAGCAATAGTCACTTTGCAGTATTGTGCATAAAACTACTCCTCGAAAATTACTTCCTCCACTCTCTTTCCCTTTTGAACATGTTACACGAAGCTCTCTTTCGCACGTTTGCATGTACCAACAGTTTATCACTTTTTATCAAGACCGAATTAACGAATTAATCTCCGTCTCTTTGTCCTTGACGAGAAAACGGAGTGGCGTGTATTTTAATTTAAAATCTAACAGAGTTTAAATTTAACAACGACAAAAAGAAATGCCCGGTTATGCGTCGTTTAACTAATTTATGATGTATATGTACTTACAATAACGTATACCACGCGTAAGACATGCATGCACGCGTAGGTGGGAAATAATAATACCTTCCGAAATCGCGAACTGTTAAACTGCCACGTGTCGCAATTCTCGATTCGTGTCTTTGGATCAACCTGAAAACTTGAAACGCAACGCCAAAGCTAAAATTTAATACTAGAAAACCTCGCTTTGTCACCGACACAGTCTGTTACACGAAATTGCAATTTCAGCTACATTGTCGCTAGTCCCGATGCTTCATAGGGCGTCGAGTATAATAGAAATTCCCTGTAACCACCAGTAAGTGTAAAACATGCCGCCCCGCGATACTCATAAATTATCCTCAATGCTCGTCAATGTGTAAATCTCCGGTTTATCGGACAAAATGTGTGAAGGGCGAGAGGAAGAGTGAGAGATAGAGAGAGAAGGATGTAATTATATTACGAGTCTGCATAAATCGCAGAGACGAAGCGTTTCGAGCTACAGTAAATATCGTCCCACGTATCCTCGCAAGAATAGCAGCACCGTACTTGATAAGCAGCGTGTCGAGAAGTGTATTAACGAACTGCTGTAACGACTAAGGACTAATCACTAACACTGTAGAGCAATACGACTGAGTTTGTGCGGAACTCACAGATTATTAGATAAATGTATGAATGAATGGTAACATGTACAATATAGAGAGAGAAAGCGAAAGCGAGCAATGATCGATGAAATATCCGCGATATTTGGTGGTACGAGCATAGGAGCAAGTATTCTCAGTACGAACCGAACTGATTACTGTGATAAGATCTTTCATTTTGCGCAGGCATCGAATAATCCCGTATTGTCATCCACGCTGGTCTACGTTCTTGTCCGTGGAGATCATCGCTGCTACATTGTCGATAGACAGATGTAAAAATAGAATTTCCAATCGCGATATTATTGTAAGAAGAGAGAAAATTCGTAGAAACGTCGTAGCCAAATCCGGTGAATCTATATCGCGAATTCGTTCTTTAGTCAAAGCGCTCGGCGAGATCATGCTGTAGGTAGAATGTAAGCTTATCCTTCCTGTACTCACACAATTAAAGCCGACAGTCCACGAGATATACCGAGTCTGACAACTAATAGGCATTCAACCGTAATACTTTTTTACTTTATGTTAAGAAGCAAAGGTGAGAATAAAAACTGGATTATCTGAGAGTACTCTTATGGTTGTGTAATATATTACTTTTAAGTTATTCACATTGGACATTTGTTAAACTGAAAATTCGTTAGGAAATTAGTCACTGGCTGCATTTAGCAGAAAAAGCTGCTTTACAACAGTTGTAAAATACATGAATCTAATTAGTGTATGTTCTTAATTTTGAATGAATCTGATAACACATACCAATCAAATTCACAAATTTTACAATAGTTACAAAACAGCTTTTTTCTAAATATAACCATTGCTTGTAGAGATTACTATGTAGTATCTCTTGCAGCTGTAATTATTACTTCCTTGGATCACAGATATATATTTTCACATTACTGAGATTAATCTGAAGGTTCCTTTAACGAACCTTCCTAAATTATGCGAAATTTCAATCTGGGAAAATTTTACGATTTACTAAGATAAATTAAACTTCTCAGTGGATATCAGTATGTAAGCATTAATAAAAGCATACCTTCCTTATATAAGAAATAAATGTTCTCTCTTCTCAAAGAACTGAATATAAAATTTAAATATACGTGAGATCATATAATATAAAATTTAAATATACGTTAGATCATGTGTGTAATACACAGCTGTTTTCCTAAATATGATTTGGAATAATAATATAACTTAATGAGAGAAAATTTTGTGTAAAATCGCAATTGACAGAACTCGATTTAAGTTAAAAGAGAACAAGTTTATCGTTAGCTTTGCATGTAATAAATTCTATATTGATACAAATATTTTCGTATTCTTTTTCAAACAGTTTATAAAATGGATTCACCAATATCTCTGATTGCGCTAAACGCTGTTTTGATTAGACGTGAAATTTCATGAGGACTTGATATCAAACGTTTACGCTGTTACGAACGTGTATGACTCAAAATATACAATTCTGAAAGTGACTATCAAATGCTGACAAGTGTGCATTATCTTACAGTACAGATAAATGGATAAGACTTTCTTCCTACATTATTTGCACACAGTTCTTCTTCATCAACTGAACTAGCAATAACCTCTTTGCCACGTCAAACGATCTTACAGCTATTATTATGGCAGCTCAGGTAACAAGATCGTTTTTTTCGATTTCGTTAAATAAATGGTACGTTTAACGAACAATCTATTTATTAGGTACATGAATTCAACGTCGAAATGACATGCGAAGGATGTTCTACAGCTGTAGAGAAGGTGCTCAAGAAAAAAACAGGTAAATACTTTGAGAAGATATTTATAACTGACTATCTAAATATAAATATTATTTTTACATATTGATTTACGTTCTATGAGTATTATTTTATGACAATTCTTTGGAAATTTTACTTCTGTGATAATTGTGATAGTGTATAAATTGAGGTTAAATGTCCCCATGTATTATGAAAAAAATAACAAAATGTAAAAACAATAAAAATGTCTCATGATAAATGAGATTTGAATAACAAGACAGTATAAATATGATATTCTACTTTATATGTCCAACATATAATCAAGAAATATAAATTACTGTATAATTTTTGCAGGTATCGATGATATCAAAATAGATTTACCAGGAAATAAAGTCTCAGTGACTACTGCACTCGGTTCAGATGAAATTTTGGAGGCAATTAAAAAGACAGGGAAGAAGTGCCAATTTTTGGGAACACAAAATTGAAAGTTTATATGATGTGATTATATCAGATGCTGCTACTACATATTATCATATACAGAGATATTTTTTGTTGTATTCTTTTCTATAAAACATTTAATTTTATTTACTTCAATTATTCATTGCTTTGTATATAAAAGTACAAAAATATTATATACTTAAAATATCTTACATAATAAAATGTTTTTACATATGTGGTCACATATAAGCATTTAACTGTAAATTTTGTAACATATTGTTGTATTTTATATTATTATAAGATAATATAAAACATCAAGATGTTTGTCATCAGTAAGCTTCGCTAATCTTCATAATAATATATGTATTACATAAAAATAGTTAATTTAAATTCTACTTGGAAAATATCACTTATGAAGGTTACATGCATACATACACACACACACGCTCAACACATGTATAAAATATCCCGATATAATCAATAATTATGATTCAAGAGTATTAATATTTACTTTTTAAGCGTCTCCTCTAATACTGTCAAACGTTCTTCCAATACATTAACTGTGTCATGTAATGACTTTACTTGATCACGAAGTGCTTCTACTGCTTTAATGGATTGACTAGATGATTGCGCGTAAAGCAATTCCTCGTGTCGTGGTACCAGTAAGTTTACTACACGACTTTTTCCAGGAGATTTCACGTTTCTCATATTGATCACTTCAACTTCTTTCCTTGGTATATCAGCAATAGGACCTTTACAATGGCTTCTATCAGATTCCAGATCCAAGTCTTCCAGTATATCCGATAAATACTGAAATGACATATATCGTATGATACGTTAATATAATGTTGAAAACCTTTAATTTATTAATTACAATGTTGTTTTCTCTACGATACAATTGTTATTCTTTGCAACCTAATATATATATATGCTATATTTACATATATTTTATTATTTAAGTTTTATTCAATTACTTCTTCTTGAGCAATTATTTCTTTTTGATCCTGTTCCTGTTGCACATGTCCTTCACGCTTTTCATCATCTATAAGCGGCTTCCCATCTGGTTCAATAACATCCAGCTTAAACTCTAGCTTGCTAGTAGGTGGTATCAATTGTCTCGGAACCTTTCTGGCTTTGTCATCTCTACAGAAATTAGACTTCCACATTAAAACCTGTCGATCCGCGCCACCAGAAGCAAAGAAGTCACCATCTTGAGAGAATGTTATTGACGTTATTTCATCAGTATGTCCCTTCAAAGTGTAAATCGGTCTACCTTCCAATAGATCTAAAACCTATATGTGTACTTCTTATTAACGATAGATATAAAAAATAATAATTCGGAAACGCGATATAGAATTGCAAGGTTTCCAATCACCTTCATTGTGGAGTCGCTAGAAGCTGTTAACATGAAGTTACCCTTTGGATGAAACTTGATCATGTTTACAGGCCCTTTATGGGCAGCATAATACTGATACAAAGATCCTGTTCTTAGGTCGTACAATTTAATGCAAGCATCCATGTTTCCTGATCCAATAGCTGCACCGCTTGGATGAAACTCTACATATGCAGCGGGAGCTAAAAAGAACAAAGTTCTACTTTAGATCTGGAAAACAAGAATTCTATGTATATAACGAACCTTTTATCTCATTGAAAGTTTTAACACATTGTCCGCTAATAACGTCCCACACTTTTATCGTTTTATCGTCGCTGCAGGACACCAAGAGTCTACCGTCGGGAGAAAATTTGGCGCACCGAACCCAATTTGTATGTCCGCCGAACGACGTGAGAAATCTTCTCTGACACACCATCCACAGCTTTATGCTTTTATCATCTGATGCAGTGACCAACTGAAAATAATCAAAAAGCAATATTTTTAGACAACACTACAGGTTTTTACAACAGTTACAAATTAACTGATAATTTAATTAAAATATAAATTACCTTTTCTCCATCCGGACTAAATTGTACAGATCTCACAGCAAAACTATGAGCTTTAAAGTCTATTGATTGCCCTGTTACTTTAGGAACCCAAATTCTCACAGATCTATCCTTTGAAGCACTGGCTATGACCTCACCAGATGGTGCATAACACACATCCAGAATACTATCATTGTGAGCTATAAATCTGTAAGCTCGTACTGACTCCGTCAAATTCCATACCAATAATGTTTTATCTAGACTACTTGACACAAGCTGAATGGCACTTGGATGAAAGGATAAAGCTGTAACTCCATCCTTATGCCCTTTGAAGTGTCTCTCAAATGTAGGATCACAGATAGTCTCCACCATTGCTCTAGAAACAGTACAGTAAGAATACAGACCAAGTACAAGCAACATACAAAAGTATACATCATATTGTGCAAAGAACATATAGCAATATGATAATAAATATATAAGCATACAAAACATTAATAAATTTATTTTAATTTTACTATGACTAAAGCTGAATTACACTACAAAAAATGGATAATGTTATATAAATTAGTTTATAATTTATAAGTTATATATACCCTTAAAGATATATGCTATTGAATAGTTCTTGAATGAAAGAAACTATTAGCTATGAAAATATATAACAGTAAACATAAGATTTTTATAAATTCGTTAGAATACTCTACACTGTGCCAATGCAATTAACACAGTACAAGTGCAAAGTTGTCGACAGTGAGCCATTAAATAGGAATGTCGTTAACACATTTTATTCATCAGTATTCTCAACGATGCCTAATTGTGAGCCGTACGATTGTACATTGAAAAAAAACCAGTACTTTTCATAACGATATTTTAATTTACGTACAGAATATTTCTACCAGGAACGTTCACACGATGCACTCGGATGTCATAACTTTCAACGTTTGACGGTTTTGCTCCGGTACAAAAACAACGCAGTATGGGGTATTTAATTCAAACAGATGTTGACTACTCTTGTCAAATGAAGTCTAAATAATGTAGTTCGACAAATGATCAAAGTAGTAGCATGCCGCGCAATTACATAAAAGCATTCAAAATTAACTTATCCTTAAGATGCCATTACATGGAAGCGTTCGAGCGTCGAGCGTCGTGCGCGCACCTTTACGCAGAAATCTAATGGCTCCTACACACAGGACGCAGTAATGCTTGCCGCGCGGCGGAAGTCCGTGCGACAGCCAATCAATATGCTGCTTTCCGTAATAACCTTCTAGCTCTTACGGAAAAACAACATATTGATTGGCTGTCGCGCGGACTTCCGTCGCGCGGCAAGCATTACCGCGTCCTGTATGCAGGAGCCATAATAGCATGTTCGCCTCGCTCTGGGTTAACCCACTCTGGGTTATTCAGTCTACGTTTATTGGTCGAACAAGTACTTATAAGCTTTATGATTGACTAGTAGAGACTTATGACAATAATCATTCTCGGAGCGATTAACCCAGAACCAGTCGAATACGCTATAAACCGTTCAGAGGCGTTTTTTCGTTTTGTGACCACGGTAGCGTATGATTGGTTAGTTTGGTCCACTTAACGCTCGCAACGCCTCGAGCAACAAAGCTGGTATCAGACTACCGACTGCACAGGCCGACCCGACTGCCAACTCTCAATGGACCAATCACAGTGAGGCGCCGAATCGGCAGTGAGGTCCGAGTCATGACAGGGTTGTATTAAATACAAGGCGCATAACAGGATCCAACAAAATTTACGTTTATCTTAGTACTTTAACAACAAATGTTGGTATTCTTTTCGTAAGTGATATTGGTACTTCACTGGGAATCGAGAGTTGTACAAGCAGCTTCGATTGATCAACACTACTTCGACCCTGGCATCACTGTACGCATGTGCTGAATGCTTGACGCTCGACGCTGTATGTAATGGCTCCTGCACACAGGACGCGGTAATGCTTGCCGCGCGGCGGAAGTTCGCTCGACAGCCAATCAATATGCTGCTTTCCGTAATAACCTTCTAACTCTTACGGAAAAACAACATATTGATTGGCTGTCGCGCAAACTTTACCGCCGCGCGGCAAGCATTACAGTGTCCTGTGTGCAGGAGCCATAAAAGTACTTATGTAAAAGCACCTTAAGATCTGACAATAGGTGCTTTCCAATTGCAATATCCCTAGACACTTTCATGCACACGACGACACAAGTTGCATTCCAATTGGTGTAATCGTTGACACAACACTACTCACATCCGTACTCAGCTCGAGGGCTACTAGTCGGCTGTGTAAACTAGTGTTTTCTAGTGACAATTAAAGTTAATAAGCGTAGCGGCTTGAAAAGAGACTGGTATTTGCGACGTGAAGTGGATAATATCTTTTTTATTATTTAGATTTTATTATTTATTATTAAAAAATACCAAAATTTAAGCATAGTTGAAAAATAATCCTAACTTTACCCGACATACGTACACATTAGTACACACTTTGTTCCAATTAAATCATTCACAACGTTACATTTTGCATTCTTGTGTACATATGTGTCAAGATGTGTTAAGCAATTGGAAAGCACCCAGTAGGTGCTTACACTGGTTGCATAAACTGTGTTACACAAAACCAGTTTATTGGTTGTATATTATCTTACAAGATATTTTAGATAATATGTGATCAATAAACTGGTTTGTGTACGTGTGTACCAAGTGTGTTAAGCAATTGGAAAACACCCAGTGTTGCGTCGACGATTACGACAATTGGAATGCAATTTGTGTCGCTGTGCACGAAAGTGTTTAGGGATATTGCAATTGGAAATCACCTTATGAATACCAGCCAATATGATGTCATGTGACATGCGCTCGACGCTGTTTCAGCGTCCCATGAATTTGCGCCTTTAGTCGATTGCAGGAACGATATTGCGTCTTATTTTTGAACATATCAAACCGGCTTATCGTTGCGGGTGTTGGATTTGGTTAGGTTCTTTACTAACATTCGCGTATATATTACCAATTTATATCATTCATTAACTATTATTATTTATTGATTTGAGAAAAATGAGTTGGAAGAAACCTATTGTTTACGGTTCTGCTGCGGTGACTATTGTCGGCGCAGCATATCTTACAAAGTAATAATGAACTCTACTCTTACTTTCCAATTTTATTGCACTATTGCTAATTGCTCTCTTGCTTATGTATTTCGACATGAATATTGATAATATAGGAATGTTTTGAATCTTTTTGTATGTTTTATGCATTATATGCAAATTTTGGGGTAATGTTTCAGCAGCATACTGCATACTTTTTCTTAGTTTTAATTTTCTGCTGTAAATGTTATAAGTAACCATATTAAAATTGCAGAGATTACTTAGGAGGTGCACGATATAAAGGAGAAGAGGAACTGAATAACAAAATTATTATTGTAACTGGAGCCAATACTGGTATTGGATATGAGACAGTTCGGGAATTGGCCCGACGTAAAGCAAAAGTCATTATGGCATGCAGGGATATGCAAAAATGTGAAAAGGTATATATGTTGCAGTTGATGATTATCTAGCTTACAAATTAATTTATTTTAATTTCAGAATGCAACATATGAATATATAACATTCTTATATTATTATAAATTACTATTTCATGACAATTTTGTATAGAATGATTTCTTTCTTCTATAGTCACGTCGAGAAATTGTAATTGATACAAAGAACAAGTATGTTTATTGTAGAAAATGTGACTTGGCATCTCAAGAAAGTATTAGGAAATTTGTTAAGCGATTTCGGAAAGGTAAATATCTATGAACAATCCACAATATTTCTTTTGCTTAAAGATGTTTATATGTAATTATATTCCATTGTTATATTACAGAATATGATAAACTTGATATACTTGTTAACAATGCTGGTGTAATGAGATGCCCGAAAAGTTACACTAAAGAAGGCATTGAGATGCAACTTGGAGTCAATCATATAGGACACTTCTTGCTCACAAATTTACTTCTGGATGTCTTGAAGGAGTCTGCACCATCTAGAATTATAAATTTGTCAAGTGCTGCTTATCATGCAGGCCAGATAAATATGAAGGATTTAAATAGTGACATTAAGTATGACTCTGGCAAGGCTTATGCACAAAGTAAATTGGCAAATGTACTTTTTACTACGGAATTAGCAGACAGACTGAAAGGTAGTTCAATAATAATTATATAATTTTTATCTCTACATTTTACATAACTGCTCTATTTATCTTTACATGTTAACTTACTGTAACTGTCAAAATATTTTTTACTTCTCAATGCCATTTTTAGGAACTGGAGTTAATGTATATGCTATCCATCCTGGTATAGTCGATACGGATATAATTCGACACATGCGTGTACTGAACAACATCTTCACACGAATATTTCTGAAACCCTTTGTTTGGCCATTCATTAAAGCGCCTGTGCAAGCAGCACAAACTGTTTTGTATGCAGCATTAGATCCTAGCATTACAGATGCTTCTGGCAGTTATATCGAGTTAGTATTTAATAATACAAGTTTATATAATGAACAAGTTTATCAACTTACTTAATCATTTATTTAATATTTATTTCATTATGTAGCAACTCTACAATTAAGGAATTGTCAGAAAATGCCAAAGATAAGAATCTGGCGAAATGGCTATGGAAGGTTAGCGAGTCATGGACAAAGCTAAATGTTACATAATTACGTGCGTATAGTAAAGACATACACATGTGTCAAATGTAGTTTATTTTTAAATATATATATACATATATATAATTAACTTTTCCTCTCTCGATATTTGAATTTTTCTCCTTTTTATTATTTATACACTTGAGCAACTTTTTATTATTTATAAAGCTAACTTATATGTACTATAATGTACAGAATGTAAGCGATAAGATGTATATTTTGAATCATTCTTTATGATTAATTTGAGATTCACGCACGTAAGGTTTTACCAATATAAGAGACTTTGTGTACAGTTTTTCAGCCATTACATCGTCGGTGGCATTTATCGACGGCATCTGCACTTGGCAATCACTGAACAAAAATAATGAAAAATCAGTTATCTCTTCTTAGTTGTATATCTTTAAACATACATAAACTTTTTTACCTGAAATACTTTCCAGAATGCTTCTTTAATTCTCTACTCACGGCCACGTAAACAGCAGTTTGGGCACCTTGAACGGCACTTTTCAGGAATAACCACATCCATGGTTGCATTATCAGCTTAATTAAGAATGTCGAATTGAAAGGCGAATATCGCATGTGCCTCGTGCCTCTCACAATACCGGGATTTACGGTATTAATCGTGACATTTGTATCTGTGTTAAAATGAATCAATTATTATGGCATCATATCACGATCGTGTTTAACATCACCTTTTAATAATTTGCTCATGTGTCTCGCCATCAAGATTAATGCCAGTTTACTCTGACCGAAAGCTTCTCTTGCAGTATAGTTTCTTTCTAAATTCAGGTCCTCCACGTGCACAGTACTGATCGTGTGTGCTTGTGAGGAAATGTTTATTATCCTGCTTTGTCTAGCTGCATATAGTCTTGGTAGGAGCAATTGAGTAAGTAAGAAGTGACCTGAAAAAAGAATTATGCAGTATCTGAAGGTATTCTTCATTCCAAGAACAGTTTCTCGAAATTGTATTAAATTTAAAGTTGTCGGCTACTCAAACGATTTTGACGAATCTCTTGATTGATGATGTCAGAGGTGAGGGAATACATGCCTAAAATTTCTGCAAAGTACATCAAAATAAAAGATGTATTCTAAAAAATAATACTTGCAATCAATTAAGCATACCTCTAAAATATTCTTAACATTTTCCTTTTGCTCCAACAATCAATGAATGACCATAAAATTAACGTGACATGCAACTTTCCTTTCTAACTTATATTTCTTCATTATATTTCCTTTGTTACGTTAATTTTACGGTTACTTATTGATTGTTCAAGCAAAAGAAAAATGCTCGGAGTATTTTAGAGAATATTTTCTGCTTAATCGATTGAAAGTTTTATTTTTTGAATATATCTTTTTATTTCGACGTATGAATATATCTTTTTATTTCTTGTAGGAATTTTGGACATACATTTTCTCACTTCAGATAAGTCAAGGTGGCCATGGCGAGTAGCCCTCCGAGAGCCTTAATATTATAAATTCAATTTACCTAAATAATTCGTTACAAAATGCATTTCGAATCCTTCCGTAGTTTTTTCAAACGGATGAAAAACAATTCCAGCATTGTTCACCAATATATCTATTTTCTCCGTGCCTGTATTAGACAGTAATGTCAAATATTGTATCGGTGAGCGATATTAATATTTAGATACAACACCTCTCTTTTTCTCTTATACCCAACAAGTTGACAAAGTTCTGTACGTTCTTCAGCGAAGAAAGATCGATTGCCTTAACGTCCGCATCACGTCCAGATATATCTCGGATTTGACGCGCCACTTTTTCTCCGGCTGCCACATCTCTGACGGCTAAGATAATATGACCACCTCTGCGAGCTAATTCCAAAGCGATTTCTTTGCCAATTCCACTGGAAGCGCCAGTAATAATTACGACCTCACCATCGATGCGGTCGTCACTCGGACACACAGAACCGCCCATGTACATTCTAAAATTATATATAATCGAAAAATATTTTATTTAAGATTAACATATTCCTTATAACTTGAAGACCTTGTAATTAACATAAACTTACATAATGATAATATGATAATATCTATATATAATTTTATACAGTTTTTACAAAAAATAGGAAAAAGGGCAATTCGAGTTCAAGCACAGGACTAATAGGACTAACAGGACTAACAGGACTAATAGGACTAACAGGACTATATACCATATGGATACAAAACCTTCCTTGTGTTAGGAAATCGTGTAATATTTATTGAACATGAATAATCAATATAAAACAATCATACGTTTCGGCTCAACCATGAACCCTCTTCAGTGATAATACAACTCAAGGTTTACGACACGAACGCATTACAATTAGTAAACGATTTGCGCAAATTGACATGAATGTTAGTCACAATATTAAAGCCGACAAGACCGTTACCGAAATAATATTAAATAATAAATTAATATTGAGAAGTAGCCGTCATAACTATAAAAAACATAAAGTAAAATAAAAATAAGTAAAATTGAAATATAATAAGTAATTAAAACTGACAATATAAAATACCTTTGTTGAGTTCAGCTAAAAGTAAACCGATTCTGTCAACGATAACATCGCCACGTCTTCGAAATACAAATAATTACAGATTTATTATGCCTAGCATTAACATTGCGGAAACGACTTGTGGAAGAGAAAGAAACCAAAACAAAGTTTATTTTTATAACAAACCACAGTAGCTGGTGCCCAAATATTCAGTATCCTTTTGTGAGTTAAGACCTTGCTTCTGAAATTTGATGAAAATCATTTCTGAGATCAGGCATTTTAAGTAAAAGCGTTCCTCATGTAAAACTTTGACATAATTCCAATCAAAATCATGGTCCTTCCTCAAACGATGTTCCTGTATGGCCGTTAACTTCACCGTAGAACTCTTAGGAATTCTCCTATGCTCGCCAATACATGTAGAGAGTCTTCTACTAGTTTGACCAACGTAAGAAGCATCACAGCCACTGCATTGCAACCTATATACATTATATTGCAACGTTATTATAGAAACTAAGAGGCAACCTGTCTTTATGCACACGAATTAATCCTGATAATTTATTAGTGCAAGAATAAGCAATATCTGTCAAATTATTTCTAAAAAGCTTTGTCAGTCTTTTCGAAATTGAACCACAAAATGGTAAGGTAAAATATTTTTTATCACACCCAGAAGCTGTCAAATTTGTTTCTACTGTCTCTGTAACTCGTCCACCACTCACAATAAGAAACTTCAGTCTACGTTTAATAACTTTAAAAATTAAGTCAAAAGGATAATTATTATTAATTAACGTCAAAATGATAAAATCCAAGTTTTTCCTATGAAAAGAAGGATGACTCAGATAAAACATCCTATCAACTAAGCCAATAATTATGCCAATCTTGTGTTGAATACATAGTTCTTCAAGATTTGGAAGAAAGAGCTATTAACATGATTCCGGTGACATTGCCTTTTTATTTTAGATATGTTGACGATATTCTTTTAGCAGCTCCTAAGGAGTTTTTGGATAACATATTGCACATTTTTAATTCGTTCCATCCTCGTCTTCAGTTCACAATGGAGATAGGAGATGACTGTATTAACTTCTTAGACATTACACTGTTAATACGTAATAACACAATTATTTTTGATTGGTACCATAAACCAACATTTTCTGGTCGATACCTTAATTATTTGTCTTTCCATCCTATTCAACACAAGATTGGAATAATTATTGGCTTGGTTGATAGGATGTTTTATCTGAGTCATCCTTCTTTCCATAGGAAAAATTTGGATTTTATCATTTTGACGTTAATTAATAATAATTATCCTTTTGACATAATTTTTAAAGTTATTAAACGTAGACTGAGGTTTCTTATTGTAAATGGTGGGTGAGTTACAGAGACAGTAGAAACAAATTTGACAGCATCTGGATGTGATAAAAAATATTTTACCTTACCATTTTGTGGTTCAATTTCGAAAAAACTGACAAAGCTTTTTAGAAATAATTTGACAGATATTGCTTATTCTTGCACTAATAAATTATCAGGATTAATTCGTGTGCATAAAGACAGGTTGCCTCTTGGTTTCCATAATAACGTTGTATATAAGTTGCAATGTAGTGGCTGTGATGCTTCTTACATTGGTCAAACTAGTAGAAGACTCTCTACATGTATTGGCGAGCATAGGAGAATTCCTAAGAGTTCTACGGTGAAGTTAACGGCCATACAGCAACATCGTTTGTGGAAGAACCATGATTTTGATTGGGATTATGTCAAAGTTTTACATGAGGAACGCTTTTACTTAAAACGCCTGATCTCAGAAATGATTTTCATCAAATTTCAGAAGCAAGGTCTTAACTCACAAAAGGATACTGAATATTTGGGCACCAGCTACTGCGGTTTGTTATGAAAATAAACTTTGTTTTGGTTTCTTTCTCTTCCACAAGTCGTTTCCGCAATGTTAATGCTAGGCATATAAAATCTGTAATTATTTGTATTTCGAAGACGTGGCGATGTTATCGTTGACAGGATCGGTTTACTTTTAGCTGAACTCAACAAAGGTATTTTATATTGTCAGTTTTAATTATTTATTACATTTCAATTTTATTTATTTTTATTTTACTTTATGTTTTTTATAGTTATGACGGCTACTTCTCAATATTAATTTATTACTTAATATTATTTCGGTAACGGTCTTGTCGGCTTTAATATTGCGACTAACATTCATGTCAATTTGCGCAAGTCTTTTACTAATTGTAATGCGTTCATGTCGTAAACCTTGAGTTTTATTATCACTGAAGAGGGTTCATGGTTAAGCCGAAACGTATGATTGTTTTATATTGATTATTCATGTTCAATAAATTACACGATTTCCTAACACAAGGAAGGTTTTTTACCCATATGGTATATAGCACTATTAGTCCTGTGCTTGAACTCGAATTGCCCTTTTTCCTATTTTTTGATTTATATCTCCATTTGCGAGTTCTTATTTCTTTCTCTAAACAGTTTTTACAGTTTTTACAACTATATATATATTTTTTTATACAATTTTTAACTTTGTATTAATTAATTTTACATTACTATTTTATACTCGTCAACGCACGCACATACCTTATCACAATGATTAATCCAACACACAAACTGATTAGGTAAGGCCAAAGAGAATCAGACAAGGGATCGAGCTTTTGTAAAACACTGTAAAGTTTATTATACGAATTCATTTTTCTTGATATGTTTTTAACTAAAATAAGCTTTGTATCAACAGTGAACAAAGTCTGTTGCGGTCACGACGCTTACACTAACGCGATAATCTACGAGAATGAACGCTGAAATAGATTCATGGGGAAGTAATGCGTTTAATAGGCCTCGATTACTTCTCATTTTTAAAGGGACCGGACATTGTATTTAACGATACTCTGCGTGCAAGTTAGCGCATCGAAAAGTGTTGACTCTAGCAGAGAGATAATGTAATTGTAATTATTTTTATTCGTAGAATACATTAAGCATTAGAAACTAAAAGATCACATCTTTCGATAATTAAAACTATGTAAAATTCAATAAGCTATAATTTCAGCAGAGGTAAATAGTGAGATATTTCAGAAAGCATCTTGGTTTGAAGTATTTAGTTTTCATATATATTATTCCATATAAAGTTTCATTAATTTTTACAACGTTATACGACAATAAATTGGGTAAATACAAAGATTATTATTTCTATCTGTGATGTTTTGACTTTAGTTCCAAAAACCCCGCTATGAGTCGCCACTTGACGAAGATTCAAGATCGTGATACTGCTCAATAATAAGTCACTGCTTCATATATGTTAAGTAGTATAACTCAAAGAGCTGATCAGCTATTTTCCTTATTGGCCGGCAGAAAAAATTATGGAGACATCTCGTGGAGAATTTGAAACGACTCTGATTTAGCTGACGTAGCCGATGCAGCATCCTAACTGCTAACCCTAACCTGGCCTAAGAACTTTACCGGATATAATTACTTGTACCGTGTGGTTTGGTTGAGTAAAACTATATTCATCTACAATATTTATTTTTACTGTCATTATGTCGTTTTTTATAAGAAATAATCGAGGAGATGGAAGAGTAAAACGCAAGGTAAGTTTTAATATTTTTTTACTTTTAAAAGAAAACATTAAATTTTCAATACATCAAAGTTTAAATAAAGTTTTAATATTTTTAACATTAAAGTTTGAATATATTTTTTATTTTTAAAAGAAAACATTAAATTTTTCTCTACTTGCAAGTTAAAAACAGGTTTGCTCAAAATAGTAAAATATTTTAAATTTTTCCTATTTTTGTTAATTTTGAAAATAAAAATTATAAAGATCATATATTATGTAAAATACGGAGACATTTTTAATATTTCAAATATTTTATCAGTTCAATGGTGCTCAATCTATATCAAAACAATCAAAGAAATTTGCAAAGAAGCCTATATCTGATGATGATGAAAGTATTGCGAGTACAGATGAAGAGTTTGCAGAAGAAAATTTTAAGTAAGTATATAATACAATTAATAATTAAATATGTTAAAAGTATATGGTAACATTTAATACAAGAATTGATTTTATTCTACAGAAGCAAAACTGAAAGATTCGTGAGTGAGAGTGAGGAAGAAGAAGAAACTGCACAAGAAAAACGTATTAGACTTGCAAAGAAGTATATAAAAGAAATTGAAGAAGAAGGTATATAATAGTTCAAAACAGAATATTCTTATGTTTTATTTACAAAAATTTGGGAAAAATAATGTGTTTACATATTAAAATAATTTCCTATAATATATAGAAAAAGATAGAGCAGAATTTGAAGAAGGTGCTGTTTCACAAAGATTACACAAAGAATATTTAGAAGAGAAAGGTCGATTAAGGAAAACTGTAGCAATATGTTACATTGGTCACAAGGATCTTATCTCATTAAAATGTAAAGAGCACAAAACATCCATTACCTGTATATGTCTCTTAAGTGATGGAAGTGTATTGTACTCTGGAGCTAAAGATGGGAGTATAGTTAAATGTAAGTTTATTTTAAATGTTTACATTTAAGATTATTAAATATATAGATATTTGAGACAGTTTACTTTTAAAAATATGAATGAATTATATATATGTTTGTGTATCTTTAGAATTATTTTTATAATCAATGCTGTTTTTAGGGTCATTAAAAACACATTCTAAATTAATAGCCCTTAAAGGGAAAAAAGTAAAAACAGAAGTTACTTTGAGCCATTACATACAGTGTTTAGCAATTAGCACAGATGGAAAATTTCTGGTGAGTCTAAGAATGAGTTATCTTTTACTTCACACTGTGTGCAATAGATTAATATTTAAATCTTTTCTTATTGCAGGTTGTAGGAGATAGGGATTGTAATGATATAAAAGTACTTTGTGGCAACACTTTGAAACATATAAAAAATCTACAAGGTCATAGAGGTTCTGTGTCTGGATTGGTATTTCGCAAGAACACTCACACTTTGTACTCTGCTTCTACTGATAGGAGTATAAAAGTTTGGAACCTGGATGATATGGCTTATGTTGAATCTTTGTGAGCGATTGTATTTGCAAACATGACTGTGCATGCATTTTTATCGTTAGTATTTTCAAATAGTTTCTTTCTAACCATTATATTTTTCTTTACAGCTTTGGACATCAGGGTGGCATCACGTCCATCGATGCGCTCTCACGAGAGCGTGCCGTCACAAGCGGTTTCGATAGTAGTATCAGGATATGGAAAATAGTCGAAGAATCGCAACTGATATTCAATGGACATAGCAATAATTCCATCGACGAGGTTAAACTCATTAATGAGGAAAATTTCTTCAGCTGTGGCAGCGACGGACAACTCTGCGTCTGGAGCTCTTTAAAGAAGAAACCGTTGTGCACTGTGACGGAGGCGCATGGGAAGGATGAAACTAATAACCAAGCGCTGTGGATTTCAAGCATTGCAGCATTATTAAATACAGATTTAGTGGCATCAGGTACGTTATTATGTAGAGATAGTATAGTTATTATAGTTATTAGCGTTTACCCGTATTTTTCTTCAATTGTTTTGATCTTTAGGTTCGCGAGACGGCAGCATTAAACTGTGGCAATGCGGCGAAGCATTTAGATCGTTAAATCCGCTGTTTGAAGTTAAAATACCAGGATTTATAAATGCACTTGCTTTTACGCCTGACGGAAATCATCTTATTGCTGGTGTCGGTCAGGAGCATAGAAACGGTAGATGGTGGCGAGTAGGAAACGTGAAAAATTGTATTGTTGTTATACCATTAATACGTAATGAAAAAACATAAATAATTGACTGATAAATAGTTATGTATATACATGTATTATATATTTTTTATCTTTAACCACTATTTTTTTTAATAAAAAAATACCTCAGATTTTAATCTGCAAAGATTAATTGGACGAACTTATCCGGTTAAACAACTAAGCGATGTAAGAGTTTAAAAGTTTTCTTTAAAGAAATCTTATCTACAGTAATTTAGTAAATTTAATAGCAATAACTACGAAGATTGGAATTAAACTTCCTACCTATATTTATGTTTTTGATTTTACCTCGTTATATGCAGGACATGAAATCATCTGAAGTGGGAAAGTAAAATAACAGTTTTCGAATAATGTGTTCTTGTAGAAATGATATGTAGATATACGAGGATGGAACGAATTAAAAATGTGCAATATGTTATCCAAAAGAATATCGTCAACATATCTAAAATAAAAAGGCAATGTCACCGGAATCATGTTAATAGCTCTTTCTTCCAAATCCAAATTCTATTTACGAAAAAAGAAATCTGTATTTATCTAGACCTGGTTTTTTATTCATTTAACCTTGAATTTTTATTATCTTTAAATTTTTTCAACGGGAAGAATTCACTAGAACTAATAGACGGATTATATGTGTGCACACGTTACGGCAGAAAATTTTTTCTCGAAGATATAAATATTTATGAACAGAAAAAATACCATAGTTGTAGCTTGGCTAGAATGTACTTATAATGGTGAAAATTTTCTAGAAAGTATAGGAAATTCAAAGAAAAAGAAATAAAACTGTACGCAGAAATAATTTTTCATAGTTTCCAAACGTGCCTGGGAAAGAAATACCTGTATTGTGTGTGAATACATTTTTCCTATACATCGTGCAGTTAGCTTACAACTAAAATGTCTAAACCAAAAAGTTTCACAAAAAGTTTGGGAAGGTATCGTTAGATCTTTTCCGAAATGGCAAAAATTTTCTAGAAAGTATAGGAAATTCAAAGAAAAAGAAATAAAACTGTACGCAGAACTAATTTTTCCAAGAATTTTTCATAGTTTCCAAACGTGCCTGGGAAAGAAATACCTGTATTGTGTGAATACATTTTTCCTATACATCGAGCAGTTAGCTTGCAACTAAAATATCTAAACCAAAAAGTTTCCCAAAAGTTTGGGAAGATATCGTTAGATCTTTTCCGAAATTTCTGAGAAGATATCGTTAGCTTTTTCTTTTAATATGTTATAATTAGTTATTTTAATATGTTATAATTTAATATGTTATAATTAGTTTCCTTTTAAGGTTTGCAACTTTTGCCGTAGCATTTGTTCACAAATTCTGATATACGTTTTTTGATATTAATATATATATATATATATAAATACTCAAACTATCTTGGCAGTTATTTTGTTATGATAATGTAAGAAATTTATTTCCGACAATTCTAATAATAATTTACGTGTAGAACCCAACTGTGCCGCGAGTTTAAAAGATAAAAGGGATGGTGCGATTTAAATTTCGGATATATTATGTGCGACAATCGTGTAAAATTTTATTCGACCACTTCATGAGATATCTGTTTTACTTTTAACATTACTTTGTCACAACAGATATATGAAATATTACCTATGACATTGCCACCGACTCACTTCGCGCAATATTGGGTTTTCGCAGTTAATGAGCGTAATTTTATTACAGCAAATTGATTGTCTAATGATTATATAGAAAAAATAGAGAGAGAAATTCAGCATTTGCGCCTCATAAAAAATTTTTCCGAAAAAGATGAATCACTCTCTTGATTAACGGCCAAGAGCAAAAACTTAATGTTCATTAATAGAACTGATAACGAGATTAAAAGCTAATTTGATATTCTAAATGAAGATCTCACGAGTGTGAAACTTGAGTAGAGATAAAAACTTTGCTCACGATTATTTAATATGATTTTACTAACGGCAAATTGATTGTATCTAATGGTTATATAGATAGAAAGAGAAAGAAATTTATTTCGCTTCGTAAAAAATTTTTCTACAAGA